ATAAAGACTTAAACTGACTAAGACTAGGGACTAAAATAAAATGCTTGTAAACTTTAAAGATAATCAGAAACATAAAAAGCTTTGATTTGAGGACTAAGATGCAATGAAATTGGGCGGAGCCCTTACAGAAAATAACACATTCACCCTAAAAACAAGTGAACCTCCACCCTAAAAACAAGTGAACCTCCACTAGCATAATCTGGTCCATTTGTGCGTGAACCTAACCCCACTTGACTCCAAAACATGGGTCACCTAAGCTTTTGGCAGTTTAGTGGATGATTTATAAACTATGTTTAGTGGGTGATTTATAAACTAAATTAGGGTTTAATAAAGAAAAAATCCATGTTTTATGCTATCTTCCTTCGCCGCTCCTCTCTAAGCTCCTCACTCTCTCTTTCGTTTAACAAAACCAGGGGCCAAAGCCATGGCCATCATATTTTCCAACTTCGACAAAGAGCTGACTAGATCCTAAATACATCTATTTCCTAAAAGTGAATAAATCCCAATGAAACCACCTCTTGAACCATTTTCTTTGAGAACCCCATATAAACCAAACCTATACCCTAAATCGATAACCAGACGCGCTATGACTAGCCAACTCCAATCGAGGAACTCAAACCACTAAGGTAAAAAAAAACTCAATCACCTACCTCTCTATGTTTTGTATTTCAAATCAAGGGAAAGAAATGATAAAAATGGTTGCTAAGAAATAAAATAAAAAACCTTAAAAAACTTGTATTGGTATTACTTTACTGAAAAAAATGAAAGGAGTATCTTATTTTTTATATTTCGAAACAATACACCCACACACTCACCACACATTGAAAATCAAAAAATGAAATTGAATACCTCAAGAAATTTATACTACTTTATGTTAATTCACCAAATCGAAAGGAGCAAAACCCTTTGCTTACACTGACCATTTATTGATTATTGGGAGCCAAATACATCTCTCTTTTTTTATTATGGTAGAAGAAAAACCTCCCAGTCTCCGTTTACAATCTGTTTTTTTTTCCGATGAAAAATGCTCTCTACTAAAAGAAAATGGCCTCACCTTTCTTTTTTTTCTTCTCCCCAAAACCAGAAAATCCCCCCAATTTATTTCTTTTCTTTCCACAAAATCCCTTGACTCTTGCCTCTTAATTTTCTTTGGATTAGGTAAAATAATGAAGGGTTTAGGTGAAATCATCCCCTGATTTTTAGGGTTAGGTATTTTCTTGACTTTGGTTTGATTTCACTGCTTTCGCTTCTGTTTTACTGTTGGGTGCAGATTTATGACAATGGTCCGGACAAAACGAGTATCTACACATGTAATATACATGCCAACCAATTCTGTTAATATTCAAAAGATGTCATACTAGATATGGAGCAGATTTGATTCTTCAAAAAGATGATGTTGAACCTGGCTTCTTTCTCCTTATGCTTTCTTCTACATGCACATGAAAATCATCATACGCTAATTATTGAGACAATATAATACTAGCAATAATAAAGGTAAGAATAATAAAAAAACATGTATAAGAAAATATAATACATATAACATAATATAAAAACTTCATATAAAATTTTACTTTCAATAAAATCTATCAAACATGTACGTTTCACTTTCATTTCAATTCACACCCCATTGTATGATGAATGAGAATGCATGATACGTGAGTCATATGTGAGTGAGCACAAATATGCAGTCGAAACTGCCACGTAGAGAATATGCACTTAAAGTGCCACATATAATATATAGGTACTGTAAAACATAGTATCACTGTATAAATCATGAATATCATAATGATCAACATCATGAATTTCTTCAATGCACAAATAGTGCCACATAGAATTGCACATAATGTGTCACGTAGAATGCACACGAATGTACCGTGTAAGATCGATCAATAAACACTCAAACTCTTGGCATGCCAATTGTACCATCAACTCTTAATGCACATACAATGGGCCTTATATTTAAATCCATATACCATTGAAATGTCAAAATTTCATAAACACGAATGTATCAAATTATCATATAAGTATGTGTTGGGCAGTTCATACCCAAAATCATTCAAATCACTCAATAAAATATTAAGAAAATAACATAATATAAATCAAAAAATATTTTCATTATTAAACTTTCAAGATTGGCTCATCCTAAGCCAAATCATTCAAAAATTATTTAATAGGCATTATGAAAATAATCATAAAATGATTCAAAACCTATTTATTTCAAAACATTTGAGGTTGACTCATCACAACTCTTCCTCACATTATATATATAAAGGTATAGTAAGAATGCACTCACCTGATAATGCCTCACTAGAAATCCTACTATCGATATTCATTTACTCTTGAAATTTTTCCTTTGATTTTGAATATCTTTGAACTTGATTGTTATCACGATCTACACAAGCATTATTTATCCATCATATACAAATTTCAAAGCATAAATTAGTATCTTATTAACCTAGGCACAACTTAGTAATAAATTCATAAAAATCCTATCGATATTTATTCGATTCTAAATCCATTTTAAAACATCCAAACTAACCAAAATATTGAAAATTATAACTTCAATCCTCCAAATACTCATGTCATCTTATAATTCCTCTAACCATCTCATATTCCATCATTTAACCCTTAAAATGATTTTTTTGAGAATTTATCTCAAAATTTCCAATTTATTCAAAAAGTCCTTGCCATTTAAATCTTCAATTTCAAGCATCCAACAATTAAATTCCAATATTATAATCACATATTTATACATTACTCTTCAGCTTCATGTTAATTTTCATTTTAAACCAGAACTTATTTCTTTTTACATTTTGGTCCCTAAGACTTCATAAGCTTCTAAATTGATTCAAAGAACTTTATAAAGCTTGATTCATTCATCAATTCTAACCTTAAAGAAATTTTTACATATTTTCCCCTAATTTATACACCATGGGCAAATATGAAAGGTCACTTTAGGCTTATTTTCCAACTTGATTCAAGCATGAATTTAACTTCTAAACATCATTTCCATTTATCTACTATCAAATTCATATTAATTTCAATTCAAACAACCAATCTCCATAAAACCCTAACTTGGTTGAAAATTTTTATATGAATTTCCAAGTTGTTTCAATCACCATACAAGCATGAAAATGGTTCCCCAATATTAACTATACAATAATCAAGCCCTAGTTAATCATAAACTAACATCCCCTTCAGCCATCAAATTCAATAATTCAATGTTATAAGAATGGAAACATGAACTAATGGTACCAAATGGTAGAGAATTTCATGGAGAACAATTTTCTATTTCATGTTTCCATCTAAATTCCTAAAAGATTAGCTTGAAAATCAAAAAGAAAGTTTCTCTTACCTTAGATGAAGCTCAGAACACCAATGGAAAAAAGATGAACAAATTCTTGAAAATTATAAATAAAAATCAAAATTAATTATAAAATTATTTAATGCAGAATGATCATTTTTCCCTTGAAATCCATTGCTCCACAACTTGCCACATGTCAATTTATTCATCCAATGGTAAAAAATAAACTAATAAGTTAGTAGTTACCAACTTTGCCCTTTAAATTTTTCCAAAATTACAATCTAACCATTTTTCATCCAACGATCCAAATTGAATATGGAAAACTATCTCAAATACAATGGTTGATATTAAAACATACATATTTAAGTCATGGAAATGACATTTTTAACCTTGTTTCTTCATCCTTCAAAATTTCCTAAAAATCCGATTCGATCCGATTATGTGAAATTTTCTCAAACTTTATCGCTTTATAGCTTTTAATACAAAATCCGTAAAAACTTGATTCCCACAGAAACGCCATTCTCGATGGTAAACTATTCATTTACAGAATTGGATTACATAAATTTTTTAAAATTACACTTTAGTCCTTGAACTTTTTCTATTTTTATACATTGGCCACTTAACTTTCAAAATTTACATTTGGTCACTTTTCAAAATTTTGGGATATTACAAATGGAGGTGGTGGCCTTCCTTTAGGTTTCAGCGACAATTGTGATGGCATCGCAGGTGGTAGTGTTGTTAGCATTGCTGGTGGCAATGGCTTAGAATTGCTGCACTGGCCAACATTCTTTGTTGCAACATCAAATGTTGATAACTTAATCACTTTTTCTGATTATTTGCATTTAGTTTGTGGTTTAGGCCATTCCTCATTCTCTTTATTTTTATTCTCATTATTTTTCCCAAGTTGGAGTCCACTCGTTGTTCTGATGGCTTCATAATTCTCATTGCATTAAATTTTCCACTTGCTTTAGTGACTTCAGTGTCACTTGGCAACGATCTTTGTTGTTTGGTGTTCAACACATTTACCAACTGTCCAACTTGATTCTCCAAATCTCTCAGCAATGCTGTATGACTTGCCATATACTCATTCATTAAAGACTCAAGTGATGACAATGTCGAAGCTTGGTTGAAAGTTTTCCCTTGATAGTTTTACTGGTTGTTGCATCGTTGTGGTTGAATTACTTGATGATATGATTATTGGTGTTGCAACTTTGGTTGTTGCTAAGTATACTACTGCTGCGACTAGTAGTGTTGTTGTGGATTTCCAAAGTCTGCCTGCAATGCATTGGGATTGACTACATTTTGTCTCCTCCAAGATAGATTTGGATAATTTTGGAAATTAACGTTGTAGGTGTTCACATATGCATTGACGTTGTCACTCCTATTATAATTCAACATAGACTCGAAGTTTTGTGGGCACTCCTCATAGTTTATCGCATCATCACAATAAACAAAAGTGAGATGAAATACGACTTTTACCTCATATATATCCCCTGGTTCTTGTAATTTTTTCACCATATCGGTCATGTTCCTCATGTTAGGGTATTGATAATCATTTTTAGATATTCTTTCCAGAATATCATAGGCTTCTTTGTATGTTTTATCCAGCAATGCTCCATTTTCATAAGCATGAACCACCATGCGAGTATACATGTTCAACCCATTGTAAAATATTTTTATTTACGTTCAATGGGGAAATCTATGCATTGGACACTTTTGCAACAAGTTCTTAAAATGATCCCAAGCTTCACATAAATTCTTGTCCTCTAACTACATGAAGGAGGTAATATCATTCCTTAGCATTGCATTCATGTTGGGAGGATTGACTCGCAGTAAGAACTTTTGAGCAAGCTCATTCCACGATGCTATAACACGATGTGGTAACGAGTTGAGCCAAGCTTTAGTTTTGTCACACAACGAATAAGGAAACAACTTCAACTTCAAGGCCTCATCTGACACTTTCTTTTGAATAAAAGAATCACACAACTTAATGAATGCTTACAAGTGTGCTCTTGGATCTTCGGTGTGCATCCCACTATACTGACCTATTGATTGCAACATTTGGAAAATTACAGGTTTTAACTCAAAATGGGAAACATGGATAGTAGGTCGTATAATGTCAGGATTTAGTTCATCCAGTGTCAATAAAACATGTTCTCTAATGGGCTTGTTGCGGTCATCAATATTGTAATAATGTTATGACATCGGTACATTTTGTAAAGGTGGGACAACACAATGAACCATGTTTGTTTATTGATGTTGTTACCTTCTTCGATGGATAATTTACTCGATTTCTAGATAAAACAGTTCTAACTCTTGGATGTTACATCGGGTTATAACACAGCAATGATATGCTAGAAAGGTACCTACAAACAGAGAATAAACAAAGTTAGAAAAAACAAAGAAAAAAACTCTAACATAATACCATTGCTCCCTGGAAACGATGGCAAAAAATTGATGCTGATAATAATGCTACAGTAAAGTGCAAGCATACACTATCGAATCAGGGTAATAAAGTGGAAGCTATTTAGCTTTGGATGTCGAACCCATAGAGAGCTAATGTATTAAACAAGAATTGTTGTTCCAAATATAAAAGAGGTGTATTGTTTTTGAAATGAGAAGGTAATAAAAATGATAGAAAAATGATGAAAACATAATGATTAAAGGCAGGCAGTACGGTAGCATTTAGTATAGAAAACAGACCAATGGACCAATAAATATTGTTGTCATTTGGTAGTTGTAGTATGATATTTCTGTGACAAAATATTTATGTATCTTGCAATGATTAACACTTTAACCCCCTTTCAAGAATTAAACACTTAACCAAATGCTTCGTACCAAAACCATTGATCAAGCAATTAACATAACAAAAAAAATCGGCAATATGCATCTCCATATGTTTAAGTTCACTTTCACAAACACCGATGCTATAAATAAAGTAGCCTGCAATCTCAATAATTTATATTTCTAAAAACACCCAATAAAGATATAGCACATAAAAGTAGTGTTTAAGTAAAAACCATATAGAAGCATTTCATCAAATACTTTATGTCCAAATCCAAATAAAAAATGGCTGTCCCTTTTCCCATATGTATGGGGTAAGGGGGAGGTAAGATAGTAGGCTACCCCCAACACCAGGTTGAGAGCAACTTCCGTAAGAGACCTCCGAATTATGAAATGCCCTCAGTGGGATACGATCCCACGACCTCAAGGTTAAGAACCTTGTGCTCTACCAACTGAGTTGGATGGTCATTTCTAAATTATCCAAATCCAAATAACATAATAAAAATAAATTATCCAAATAAGTAAAGTATATTCCCTATTTTGAACAAAGAAACCAAAATAAAGCTTGAAACCCAATCGATCACCGTTGCTATATGGATGCTCCACGACTGCTGCTACACTCCCCAAATGTGATTTTAAGCTACCATGGATGCTGCCATAGAGGATAAGATATAGAAGGAGGCTAGAGAAATTAATGGAGAAGAAGAGAAGATGTGAAAATTATAAAGGCTAGCCACTTTATAAGCCCAAAAGGTCAAAGCATTTTCCAATAGGAAAAATATGATTTTTCCTTTATTTTCCAGCCATTTTACAACTGGAATGGAAAATTGTTTGATTCCAAAAAATTCTATGCCTGCATGTTGAGTTACCAGTTGCTGCAGATTCAACTCAACAATCCAACACAACATCATCTCACAACAACGTCTACAACATCAATAATGTCACGCCATCATCGTACCAACTCACAACAAAATATCATAAAATAGCCCAAAATATATAATTTCACTCCCAATGCACAAATGATGCAAAATATGATAAAATAAACCTAAAATTATTCTAATGATACTAAAGTTCAAGCTCAACTTAAGTGAAAAGTAACTAAATAATAACTCTTTTGGAGAGTTATCAACAACCAAATGGTTAGTCAAAACAGGTTGTTCAAATTCTGGAGGACTCAGAGGGTGCATTATAGATTTCAAAGGCAATTGAGAGGATCATTTACCGTTGGTTGAGTTTACCATCAATAGCATTTATCAGTCTAATATTCATATGGCACCGTACGAAGCCTTGTATGGTATAGGTGTTGAACTCTGTTAAATTGGACTGATTATTTGAGTGGAGGATTGTGGGAGCTGATCTTATTCAGGAGATTGAGGATACAAGTAGGTTTATTCGAGACAGGCTTAAGACTGTGTTGGATAGACAAAAATCTTATGGATATCTAAAGAGATGGGATATTGAGTTTAACGTGGGTGACTGAGTCTTTATGAAGTTATCTCCTTGGAAGAAGGTACTTTTATTTGGACGTAAAGGCAAGTTGGGCCCAAGATTTATTAGACCTTACTAGATTCTCCTTTGAGTTGGTCTAGTTGCTTATCATCTTGAGTTACCGCCAATACTTGAGCGTATTCATGATGTTTTTTCATGTCTCTATGTTGAGTCATTACTGATCTTATTCATATCATATTATTTTTGTTGAGGATATCGAGATAAGATCTGATCTGAGTTATGTGGAAGAGACCATTCAGATTCTTGCCTCTGAGGATCGAGTTTTGAGAAGTGGATGTATACCTATGGTTAAGGTACTTTGGAGTAACCGTAATCTTACAGAGACCATATGAGAGAATCAATAGTCCACGGAAAAGCAGTTCCCACATCTTTTTCCTTCTTGTAAAATTTCAAGGCCGAAATTTCTTAAGGGGATAGTTATCAAATCTAAAATTTTAGGGATTAAATTAAAGTACTTCTGAGTGTTGGTGTTTGTTCATAAGTTCTTGAATGCTAGAGAGAGCAATAATTTCAAAATATTACATCAACAATGTCAAAAACATTGCCACAAGCAATATTGTCCTAATTGCCTTTGCAACAAAATCCATCATTCCTTCAACGATTTAAAAATACCAAGAAGGACCACCTACTCAAGAAATTCATTGATTTTCTAAAGCAATTAACATTCAATATTCTTTTGATCGAAGAATTGGAACCAAATTTGAATTATGTCAAGTTCATGAAGTTGATATTTTTGAACAAAGAATTGGAGGATTTGAAACGATCACACTCACTGCAGGGTGTAGTGCCATGGATACAAGTATATTACCACCAAAATTAAAGGATATAGGGAGTTTTACTATCCCTTACATCATTGATCACCAATTTGTAGGTAAAGCATTATGTGATTTAGGTGTCAACATTAACCTAATACCTTTTTACATTTTCAGGAAATTTAGAAGTGGGGAAGCAAGGCCTACCACTCTGACACTTTAACTTGTCGAATGCTCTATAGTATATCCTGATGGCATTGTTGGCAATATTCTAATCCAAGTGGATAAATTCATTTTCCCCATATATTTCATCATTTTGGACTACGAAGCTGACCAAGATGTGCCAATTATACTTGGTTGACCATTCCTTGATATAGGTAGAGAATTAATAAATGTTAAAAAGGAAGAACTTACTATGTGTTTTAATGATGAGCATATTACATTTAATGTTTGAAATCTCAGTACATATAATGACAATGCTAAATTCCATTCTATTGAAATCATTGATGCAATTATGCAAGATTATATGGATGAATTTCATAGCATTGAAAATGTTGTTCATTATGTTGCGGAATAGAAGAGGGTGAGACTACTCAAGTCTAATGGAAGTATGTGCAACACTTTGAATCATTAAAAATTTCCTATAGGCCAATCAAGGTTCTTCTTCCTTCAATCGAAGAAACCCCAATCTTGAGCTAAAGTCCCTACCTGAGCATTTTAAGAATGTCTTTCTTGTGGACAACAAGACATTTCCAGTTATTGTTGCAACAAAGCTCAACGCATTAAAAGAAGAAAAAAATTCTCAATGTTATAAAGCATCACAAAAGGGTAATTGGCTGGAGCATTGCTGACATAAAGGGAATTAGGCTTGCATTTTGTACGAACAAAATATTGTTGGAAGATCCAAACTTGAGCAACAGAGGATATTGAACCCTATTATAAAGGAGGTTTTTAGTAAACAAGTCATCAAGTGGTTAGATGTTGGAATCATTTATTCTATATTTGATAGCAATTGGGTGAGTCTTGTGTAGTGCATACCAAATAAGGGTGGAATCATTTTTGCCTGCAACGAAAAGGATAAGTTAATTCCTATTCACACCATGACTGGAAGGCACATTTTAATAGAGTATAGAAATATAAGCAAAACAAAAAGGAAAGATCATTTTCCATTGACATTTATTGATCATATGCTAGATAGACGTGCTCGGAAAACATTATATTGTTTCCTCGATGGATATAGTGGATACATCCAGATAGTAATTGTAATTGAAGACCAAGATAAGACTACATTCACTTTTCCTTATGGTACATTTTCATTTTGAATGAAGCCTTTTGGTCTCTGCAATGCTCCAACATCGTTTTAAAGTTGCATGATGGCCATATTTCTGACATGGTCGAATACTTCCTTGAAATATTCATGTATGAAGTTTTAGTCTTTTCTCAATGCTTCGACCAAAGTCTCGACAATCTAGCTACAATGTTGAATTGATGCAAAGACATCAATCTTGTGCTAAATTGAGAAGAATTCAATTTTATGGTGACTAAAAGAATAATGCTGAGACATCACATATCATATCGATGCATTGAGGTGGATAAAGACAAAGTGGAAGTCATAAAGAAATTACTACCTCCAATTAATGTCCAAGCTATAAGAAGTTTCTTACGATACACCAGCTTTTATCTATGATTCATTAAAGACTTTTGAAGATTGCCAGACCTCTTTGCTCATTGCTAGAGCAAAACAAGAAACTTGTCTTT